TTTCAGAATAAATAAGAATAAATACTGTGAAGTCAGTTAAACATTTTTTTCTGACTGTTTTCTTTTAAATAATACACTTTACTTTTGATTTCTTGATTATAAACCTGACTGGCCTCTCATTTAGAAACTGCAGCCTGATAAAAGTACTTACAAAATGTGAATGAATATTTCTAGCTTCTTCTGCTAAGTAGTACACTCAAATTTTGATTTCTTGATTATAAACTTGGCTGGCCTTCCACTCTGAAAATGTGGCCCAGTAAAAGTGCTTAAATGCTGTGCACGGAGTCAGTAAATATTTCTGCCTGTTTTCCACTAAATAATACACCCTTAATATAATTCCTTGATTAAAAGCTGTCTGGTGACTTTCTCTGAAATTGCAGCCCAGTTAAAGTGCTTACATACAGTATTGTGCCCAAAGTCAGTAGAAAATGTATGTGGCATAATACATTATAATTTAGATGTATTAATTAAAATCTGCCAGTCTCTCCATCTAAAAAACCTGCCTGATCATTCCCTACTAAAGCTAATTACTTAGGGGGTTATTTATAAAATGTTCACAGAGCAAACAGCTGTGCAAACGTTTAAGTTTAAGATTCACAGCACATTATGGCAACTACATGGAGCCAAGCAACATTGGAAATTCTATGCTCCTTAGCTTTATTTAGTGGCTATAATGCACTACTGATCTAAAACTTAGACGTATACACTGCAGGCAGAGTTTCTAGTGCTCCCATACTGTCCTGACACCATCCAGTCTCTACCAAACACATACCTAAAGTCTATACTCTATTTTGGAACTGTTTGGGGATATGGGGATGGGAGGAGGTGCAAGAAATGTGGGGTTTGGGTTTTAAAGTGTTTGTGTTCACTTTGTTTTGGTATTTGATTAAACTTTTAAGACAGTGCAGTGTGGTACTGTGAAAAAAAAAGCTCACAAAACTATCCTATCAAACTGTTGTGTGGCTGGTCAGTATATACAAACTTGAGGGTTTTAGCTTAATTTTTGCACTTTCCTATAGTTTTTTTGTCAAAACTGCAAAGGAATCCAGCAAGAACATCAGACCAAAAGAGTGAGGGAAAAATAGCTAAAAGAGCACACTTATTACATATGTGACCAGAGTGCCAGAAAAAGATCCAACACTAAAGCATCGGCGAAACAATTTGGCATTTGCAGTCTAATGTGGAAAAGAATGCACAGTTTTATACACTGGAAAGACAGAGCTACCATTAACAAATGGGTGGCCCAACATAGGAGGTCTAACTTCTCTAATCAAAACTTAGACAGCTACTACACCTAAAAGACAAGAAACATTCTTTAGGTCAGGTAGGGTACGGAGTTTGGGCACAGAAGACATATGATTTGAAAGATGGGTAAAAGAGGTTATCAATAAAAAAAAAACAAGATCAACACTCCTTAAACAAAAATCCAGTTTTTGATTTATAAATCAATTAGTTTTATTTAAAGCATTTATATCCTAACAGTTTTTAGTGTGGCAGAAAGACAGTTTCTGACTACTTTAAAGGCATTGCCAAGGTAGATTTGTTTAAAATTCCATGAAGGAAGAATTACTTTTTGCCTACACTAACTAACCACGTTCTTCCCTTAAAATTCTAGTGTAGTATGGGAGATTGAGAGGTAGAATTTAATTAGCAGTTATTTGTTTTTTGATTCTTCAACTAGGTGTTGTTTTTGGGAACAATATTTTCAGCACTGAATTTGAAATCTTACTGATATGTATCAAAAGATAAAGTTGGTGTTTAATTATTCTTGTATCTTTTCAACACCCCCAGCTTTGTCTCTAAGTATGCCGTACACAAGTATAAACTTGTGTAGGATAAACTCTCTGGAGGTTCAGGTTCAATTATTTATCTGTATGCTACACTAAATAATACTACATAGGATACCATATACAAATATGTTTAATAACACAAAGTCAATGAAGAGCAGTAACCCAGAGCAACCAATCACATCATGTTTTAGCTGTTTAGAGTAATTAGAGTAATTAGAGTAATTAGAAAATAGAACATTGATCAGTAATTTGTTATTTGGGGTATTTGTTATTTGTTATTTGGGGTATTGGTACTGTGCAAAATGTTTTTAAAGTCCATACTGTACTCCAGGAATGATCTTTAATTAATACTTACATTGGTCCAGCTTGGCTCAATGTAAGTACAGTATCCATATCCGATATCCAGAAGGATGCTGAGGATTCTAAAAAATCACTGTAGTAGTCTGTTTTACATACAGTGATTGCCATGATCTTCTGGCTGTGGCTTCATCTGCTTCCCCTTTGCACACTGAGCACATGGAGTTGATCTCTTGGCATCACCACCATTTAGAGAACACCTTGAGGGGAATTTATCAAAACTGGACCAGAAAGAATCTGGTGCGGTTGCCCATAATAACCAACCAGCCTCCCTCTTCAGTTTGTTCAGCTTTGAAATGAAAGAGAGAAGCTGATTGGTTGGCATGGACAACTGCTCCAGATTTTGTCTGCTCCAGTTTTGATAAATTCCCCTCCTTGTATTTATATTCAACTAATACAAGGCATTCTCTAATTAGACAAGGTGGAGAGGAGGGGTGCATGGCATCATGATCTCTCCCTCGTCCATCCATACAAGGCATTCTCTGAATGGAGGTGGTGGTGAACGAGCAACATCCTGTGCTCAGTGTGCAGAAGGGAAGTCGCTGGAGCCACAGCTGGAGGAGACCAGCTATTACTGTATATAGCCCTGACTACTACAGTGGTATTCAGAATCCCCAATGGCCTTCTGGAAATCAGTTATTGATACTTACAGTGATACTTTTGAGCCAATGTGTCAACAACTACCTTGTGATAGTTTTTAAACAGTTCATTGCAATACAGTATATGTAACAGCTGAATTTTCTGCATATCTATCTATCTATCTATCTATCTATCTATCTATCTATCTATCTATCTATCTATCTATCTATCTATCTATCTATCAGCAGCAGCTTGTGTATCCATTTGGCTATGCGGATAATGTGTGTGCATGGAATAATAATGTAATTTGTTGAGGAGTTCCACATTGCAGCTGAGAGGCATGTAAATACAAGCTGCTTATTTAAAGAATCTTCCAGTCTATCAGTATGATTTCCATGGAAACAATCTAATGAAATACAATACAGCCATCTGTGCATTTTGACAGATATATTCTTTTATGTGGTAGAGCTCACTTGTTCATAGTTATGTGTTTTATATGTATACAATTGAACACACATACAGCAATGTACATGGTATTTCACACTGCACTCTTCATTTTATTTTGGAAATATACGTATGATGATTATATAATTTTATAATTATTTCTCTGTAGAAGCAGAAGCAAAAGTAATGTTCTTCGGCACTGGTCTGCATTCCAGCTGGAGATTCCTACTCTTGAAACATTAGCTTTTTCTGGTCATGTACTAAACAAGATATAGTTTTCAAGAGGAACTCCAGACATAAAAGAAACCCTAATGAGGATGTGGAGACATATATCTAGAATAGAAAATATTAGGGTGTCCTGGTTGTAGTTAAAAAATTGTCCTTGAATCCTGGAACGTGATCTTACTCTTAAATTAAACCTGTGCCCATGCAGGACAAAGTAACAAGTTTATATACCGTCCCCCCTCCCCAGGAGCAAATACTCTCCTCCCTTTTGTCCTGCTGTTCAGCAGCTTGGGCGGGAATAAAGGAAGCCCTGTGCAGGGCCGGATTTACTCTCCCTGCCGCCCCAAGGCCAGGTTCCGCCTTTTTGAGATATCAATTGGAGGTGACAGGTTCTCTTTATTGACCCTGTCACCTCCAATACAGGAGTTCTAGCACAGCACTGTGCTGGAACTCCTGTGACAGGTGAGAGAGGAAGAGCACAGGGTTACTTTTAACCCTGCCTCTCTGCTCCCTGCAGTGAGGAGAGACTCGGCGGCGGAGCCCAGAGGACGGAACCAGAGGAGAGCGGTAAGTGCAGGGGGGAGGGGAATCCGGGCCAGACTGTGTAGGCTTCAAAAACAAACATGGTGCTAAGGGCACGCTCCCCACTCTCATGTAACAGCCAAGCATCAAGCACCAGCTGTATGAGAAAGGGCAGTGAGTCTGACTGACCGCTAGGATATCTTCCCTTTGAGGGATTTCCCCTCCTTTCTGTTGTGGCTATCAAATGGGAAGAAATTGGACACAGATGGCAAGCAAACAAAAATCTGACAGAGATTTCAACCCTCCCTTACTCTATCCAAACAAAAAAATGGTTTTGGCTTCAGTTCTACTATAAGTGCAAATGTTTCTCTGCCATGTGTGGACAAAGCACAGCTTCACTTAAAGGACATTTACATGCCCTGTACATATATGTTAAATTACTATAAAAATGTTTTGACAATGTTCGCTTTTGAATGCATATACCGGAAGCAGTGTAGATTCACAGAAGGCAAGACTAGATAACTTAGATTCAATGTCATGTCATGTGTCTGCTTGTGTCTTGTGTTTTTTAAGGCATTTGACTTGCTATCATCATTATCTACATCTCATTGATTCAAGTGACTAGAGATGTGCCTCCTTGAGCCACTTGAAAAAAAGTTAGTGGTTTCCTTTTTTGAAAGTTGTCAGTCTCGCTGACAATTTCCTAAGGAAGGCCAAAGATTGATAGGATAGGAGCAATCAGCTAATCTGTCAATATGTGAGGAACAGATTAAGCCATATTGGCAGATTGTTGTAAAAATGTTTGCGTAGCACCTGCTTGTACATGTACCTGTTGGGTAGCCCACTTCCCCTCCTCTGTATAGATTGTTGCAGAGGAAGCCAAGTATTCAACTCCTCAATTAACAGTAAATTATTCTGTGTTAGTTATTTTTTCTGGTTCACATATTTTTACATCTGCATTTTTTTGGTTGTATTATATATGTCTGACATGATAGTATGACACGTTTTTAATTTATGAGCAAACATTGTAGCAATCAAAATATAAAATCAAAGCCATGTAAAATCAAACAATCTTTTTTACAGAGGACAGTGAAAATCCACCGATCATAACTGAGATCCAAAAACCTCCCAAGGTACCCATAAGCCAGACTCCTCCAAGCACTGCCTCAGGTAATTAGAATGTTGTGTTAGTTTGTCTGTGTTATTTATTCACATCTCGAAAAGTTGTCTGTTTTAGGCTAGATGTTCAGTGGCAGCTAAGCTACATGGAATCATTTAGGATGCAGGAAACACACTTGAGAAGGATTTCTTAAGTAAGCCAGTTTATACTAGGCATTCCTTCCTGAATTACTTTGTAATGACTCAATTAGCTTTCATTTCTGCACAAAGGAGATTTAGTTGCATAAATTAGCTTATCATCATTGAGGAAGTGTCACAGCTAAAGGACAGTTTATAGATACAACATGCAGTTGCTGTCACACCTATGAGAATGTAATATAGACATCTGTGTATACTTTGTGCTTGAACAGAACAGACTTCTGCCATTCAAAGGCTGACAGGGGACAACAAGTAACCCAGGGGACTGGCAATGTAGACATCTGTGAAAAGGTCAACTTGACACAAGCTCTGACAATCGACCTGCAGTTCTGTCTTCTTTGATAAAAATCAGATAAACCTAAGACCACTAATTGATCTGCAGCTTGTTTAAATGTTGGCCATGCATATCTTCATTGCATATGATTATAGCAGAGAGCAATCGAATTAGAGAAAAGAGAAGCCGGACTCCTGGTACAACCATAGCATGGCAATTAGAAGAACAAACACCTAGACACAGAGAGGACCACAATGGTAATCTGCTGTATTATCCAGACTGCCTGAAGTTTTGGACTAAAGTACCTAGAGAAAAAATTAAACCCTTTGTTAACAGAGCCTGTACCACTCAAACTAGAATAGAATAGTTTGCCTAAAAACATAGAAAATTCCCCAGAATCCATATGTACAGTGTTGTAGAGTTCACACGATTAACAAAGCTTGAGCTCTGTCTTAGTGGAGTGATTCCTATGATACGGCAAGGTAATAATTGTGTCAATGACATCCTCTTGGTTTGGTTTAGGTCAGGAAATCCATCTTAACTTATAGCTCAAAGTTCTTCTTTGTTGGCATCGATGGAGGAAACAAGGATGCGGAATCTGTACCCTTGTTCTGTCTCCCTAATGTCCATACTAATACTGTAGGTGGAACTTATCTTGCAAGTAGAGCTTATTACTGGACATGGGGGTGACATTTAAAGTTTTGCCTAAGGACCATTCAGCATAATGATGTACACAGTATAATGTGTCAGTGATGCCTGGCAGTATGATGTTATTGTGTGTAGAAAAATAGTGGGATTGTATATAAATGGTGACATCATGTGATATGTGTGAGAGGTGTTTAAAGGGAAAACAAATGGTTTTAGATCAATTGTGTTTCATTTTTTTATGATGATAAGTACTTTTTCTTATCAAGCTGAAATACATGTACTATAATTGATGTGTTTTAACTGTATACAGGTTTTTATTCCGTTTATTTACTCTTGTGATTTACACTCTATAATGTAGAGTCAAACAGGTGACACTCCTAAACCATAAGTATAGGTGGCACATCACTCAAGAGGCTTCAAAACTGAAAGGAGATAGTGGTGTCTTGTTCTGATTTGTGGCAAATGTGTGTTAATCACCGAACTGAGCTTAGAACAACCAATACTTTTACACATGCATTTCAGTGTGTGTGTGTGTGTGTGTGTATAGTGGTTTTCCTACAGTTCTGGTTGTCATAGAAATGTGAGTTAATGCAAAATGGGGTAAAGAGTTCTGCTGGAGACAAGCATATTATAAATTAAATAAGCCAGATATTATATGACACAGGCACTGAAGATGATGTGCTTCTTATCAGGAATTAGCACCTCTGCACAGCATAAGCATGGTGGTCCTATCTTAACTGTGTCCTGAAAGGAAATGTAGTCTGGGTCACCCTGTCAGCTGTACGTGCCGTATACATCACCCCTCTCCTCCTGTCAGGAGAAGGGTGGACATGGAGACCATGATCAGGAAGTCCCTTTCCGTTCTCTTCCTAGTATGACATGTGGACAGGAAACAAAAGGCTGATTTCATGGTCCACACAGGAAAGCAGAAACAGGTTGCTGTAAGTGTTTAGGCTTGCAGTGTGTTTTTCAGAAAGGAAGTAAGCACATCATACTGTACAGTGTTTCACCACTGCAGGATGGCTAAATAATTGTACAAAAATTGTGTAATAAAACTACAACACTTGAAAACTGTTTTACTTTCTTTTTATACCAGTAAGAAGGAAGATAACCATCTAGCTGCATGTATGAGAAATACCAGTGCTTTTACCTTATTTCAATGCTGTTTTGTTATTAATTCTATAGTTATAAATAGTAAACCATGCATACTCTAAGTTTAAAAGTGCTGTTTTCACATTAGGTGCTTTTCTTTTTTTTAACATTTCAGTATTATGTTACTGTTGGTAGGCTGAATCTACCACTATCTTTTAGTGGTTCAGTCTGCTTATAAAGTTCAGTCTGCTTATATTTTGCCTGCATTGGATTCTTTCCCCCTTCTTTAACATTCTAAAGCAATTATTAAATAAAACCTTTCCATCTTCATTACATACTAGTGTGCCCAACATATCATTTGCTTTACTGTGTGTTTCTAATGCATTGTATTATAATTACAGTAGTATCAACTAATGCCAGGTTGTAACTGTGCAGTCAAAACAGCCTGTTTATTTTTTGCCATTGGTATGTTCCTCTGTTCCTCCCTCTTTTTTGTCTCTAGTTAGTACAGTCTCTAGCTAGACACTCCCTCAGAAAAGTCATTGTCTTCTTACACATCAAAGACTGAAAAAAAATCCTATGTATTTTACTTTATATGCAAAACTGCATTAGACTCAATTTCTTCTCCTTAGTGGAGGTTTAAACTGTCTGTGGATTCTGCTGAGTCAGCAATTAGCCATATTGTATAGACAGACTCAGATCTAAGGAGGTATGTCACTGCACAAAATGGCCTTTTAGATACTTGGCTGCCCAAAGATATTGCTACTATTATACATCTGGACCAAACAAGTTTAACTTCAAATAGGAACACTTTTATGGACATTCATAGATTCTTCCTAAAAAAAATCTGCAACTCTTGCATACATATACAAGTACCAAGGCCATCCTTTTGCAAGGTAAGACGAAAGCATTTGACTCCATGGAGTGAAGATATTTATTAACAGTTTTGCCCAGAAATAATGTCGGCCCTATGTTCCAAGTCTGACTCCAACTTTTATATAAATACCCCTTAGCAGTCATCCAGATTGGTTGTTGTCTCTCTGAGCGTAACCCTCTGCATAGGAGCACAAGACAGGGGTGTCCTTAGTCCCATATTCCCTTTGCTTTAACAGAGGAGCCAATGGCCATCTTTGTATAAAACTCCCCCCAATTTGTTGGTTTTCAATATGACAACCTAGAGGAGCATTTTTCATTGTATGTTTATGACACCATAGTGTATTTGGGAGATATTGGTGACTTAATTTACTAGCAGTAATAAATACATTTGGCTCCATTTCTGGGTTTTGAGTAAACTGGCACCAATTTGCTCTCATGCCATTGATTTTCCAATGCCCCTACCACCCACTTTCTCACATACCATGTGTCGCCTCCTTTGCCTATCTCATTATACAAGTTTCTTCTAAGCCTACCACAAGCTGAATCATCACGTGAGTAGTTACCAACTTGAGTGTTAGCAGCTAAGCCAAACCACCACTGCTTTATTAGGTTAGTGATGTGCCTCCCGACAACATCATTACTCTAGTTGCATCCTGCAATAGCAATGAACTGCACACCTGTTCCTGGTTTAAATTGCCTTTGTTACTCCACCCTGCTCTGACATGTCAGGCTTTGTCATATGCATGGTACGCCATGAACTCACAAGCACAGGGCTCACAAGGTTTGACAATCAGCCTAAAAACTACAGAGGTTGGAAATCTACCTTTAGGGCCACCATTAGTGACCTGGGTATCCCATCTGGTGAATAATTTGACATGCTATCAAAGTGGCTAGGCTTCCAATCTTGTGTCAAGAGATTAAGAGCTGTTGTTGTTGGCAACCTGGCTGCAGGTCTCAATGCCACAAAGATCAGTTGGTGAAAATTACAGCATTCTAGAAGCTATAAACAATGCTCTGTTAGAAAGGTTGCTTCCCTAAGAATGATCAGGCATTTCAAAAACAAAGTGGTCTTTTGCTTGAACTACAACTTGCTAAGGGAGATTCTCATCTGCCAGGTCTCAGCTATCTAGACACCACTCGCAGCGTGAATACAGTTGTCCTAAATCTGCCATACAGCATACAGGAGAAAAGGTCAAGGTACAAGAAGGAGAATTAAGTTTCCTTTCTGCCATTCTTCCATTTCTGTGGTTTTTTTAGGAGCATTCATTACTGTGGCCACCTCCCCCATCTAAAACTGCTGTAAAAAAAGAAAAACACCTGTGGGGGAAAGAGTTAGCAGGTACTGTATCTTAACTAGTACATATAATTATCTATACTACCAAATCTCATGAGATCATGAGATACAGCACACTGTAGCAGCATATTTTTGCAAGATTTTGGGTACTCTGCATACCCTGGGATCTCGAGGGAAGAATGTTAATGCCATCCTCACCTAGTTGCCATGGGCATAAATGAATTAAGAGAAGTATATTTACTAACTTTTTCCTTCACAGGCATTTTTTCATTTTTTCCCCAGTTTGTGAGATGGGAGAGGGGGCCACACTAAATAAGCAGAACTTAAAATTTTAGTGCAAGGTTTGCTTCAGTTGCTTAACTCCTATTACTCCCCCTGCAGCTAACAAATCCATGCTATTACTTCCTGTACCTAAAAACCCAACAGTAATAACACTCCAATAATACTTTCCACTTAACACAGTACCTCCCCTCCAGGAGAAGCAATTTAGCTGACTACTTGCTTTGTGTCATAGTGAGGGATTTTGGATATGGATAGGAAGACCCTATGAGACCCCCAGGAGAAGGGAACACTTGCAACCACAACCTCCAGTGCCTACTCCAGCACTGTGCAGTGTCCTGATACTGCTTTATTTTCTTTTAGAAAAAGCATTTCTTTTTTAGCTGATAATTTAGTGTTTTATTCTCTATTTATAGCTATGGATATTGTTTATCACCCTGGCCAATGTTTTTCTTCATATTAAAACCGTTTTAATTGAATTCTTGAGAGATGCATTTTGTTGAAAATTTGCTAATGATATGTAAATTTTGGTTGTAAAGTGCTGTGGAATCCACAGGGCCTGCTGTTCAAAGATCTTATAACAACCTTAGATTGGCGGTACAGTCTTGTCTGTATTTATGCTTCCATCAACATCAAACGATTCCATTTACATGCAGATTGCCATTGTCAAACACATGGTATCTTGTCAAAATATTTGGCATGTGGATAATTTTTCAAATTAATGCCATTCCCCCACTTTAAAGTTAACGCATTGCAGTCCATGTTAATCCAAACCGTACATTTTCTATTCTTGTCACAAAAATAACATAATGGTATTTTTTATGCTGATTTCTGATTGCGGCAGTGGGATAGCAAGCATGAGGAGATCCATACATTATTCTGCTCTGAGAGAATGCGTGCTAAACCATCAATCAGTTAATGGTGTGTATGGCAGTTTTAGCACTACATTCATTGTCACTCCGCTATTGCAAAGTTATGCTTGCAAGCAAATGCTGATTGTCTGTTGTTTTTACAATGGATGTAGCCAAAAAATGAATTGCCTATTACAGTTTATGAATAGAAAACTATGATTGTTTTTATGGTATTTTAGTAAATAGTTTGTTTTTACTTTGAAAAATCAGTACATATACATACACCTAAACATATATAATCAATATGAACTTACCATCTGCCTCTCACTTTAAAAAATACAGGTTTATCTTATTTGCTACGCGTGTGTCACTGACACCTCAATCACCAAACTCTTCTACAGATTAACCTGTGTCTGACTAATGAGGAAAGCTAATAGCTGAACTTTAGACTTACCATCAGTCTTGCACAGTTGTGCAGACTCCTCTTGAGTACTGAAATTGCTTACTCTGATTTCCCAATACAGTGTTAGCTTCTTGCAGTGTGCATTAAAAAGCTACACCAAGTCAGATAAAACCTGTCTTTTTTCCTGGCTGAAGGATGTCCAGCATTATCTAGATCTTTCCTCCCCAGCTTTAATATCGCTGGCCCACCCCTGTCATTTATTAGATGTCACTTCTTTTATTTATGGAGGCTCAGCATCACGTGTGGGTGTTTCCTAGGGCAGTCTGCATGCAAATTCCACCCATTAAGGCATTTTGATATTTGTATAACCCCTCCAAAAAATCAGCCCACTTCTTGCATCATGGTACCGAGGCAAGGGGCTGTGATGTTTTCAGGAAACTATGTACAGCACCCTGCCAACCAGACATGATCTGCCTGCATTGTATAGCAAAGATTACTAGGACCCATCACCAGGTTTAAAATATCAATGTAATAATCGCATGTTGATGATTGGTGAAAGGAGAATAAGCCCTCAAATGGGTGGCCCCAAGGCCTGAACTGCAAATTGCTAGTTCTCAACACTTCCATATGAATAAGGAGAGAAGGTAATTAACCTTGTGTAAGGTTCTAAATTGACTGACATGGAGCTTACACAGGGTTTAGACTCACTAAACTGGTAGGCGAACAGGGTGGTGGGGCAGCACGGAGAAGGTAAATATAAGAGGGGTGGGGGTAACCAAAGGAACTGTCACTTTGCCAATTCAGATTTCTTAAACTCCATAGGGAAAACCAGGGACACACCCACTCTTTCTCTCATGGCAAAGGCAGGACCCTTGGACTTAGTCAGTAATACACAGGGTGCTTCCAAACATGCAGGCTGTTTCTTATTAGAAAGCGCAGCATGCTTTTCAAAATGGGTGATATAGGTGTAACCAAAATTAAAATCCAACTCCGATGGTGTATCACTGCTGCAGGAGTGAGTGAGGCACATTATTGTGTCTAATACATATTTGCATGCTTTTCTTTCTACATGATTATTCACATTTATTCGCTACATAGGTTTCCTTTATCTGAACTTTGTTTTTGTCTTTTCTTTGTCCAGGTAAAGATACAGAATATGCTAATTATTACAGAGGATTATGGGACTGCATGGCAGATCAGCCTGATGAACTGTCCTTTAAACATGGTGATGTCATATATATTCTCAGCAAGGTAGGTTACACCACCACACTGTTTTGTAAAACAATGGTCTGGGTACTGCTATTGTTTGATAGATGCCATGAAGGAATAATTGGCATTCTCATCAGTACTACTTGCGCTACCCAAAGTTCTGTCTCTTAAAGAAATTGTCTTCACAGTCACAGTAATGAATTACTTTGTCAGTGAAACACAATCACATTTGCAAACTGAACCTAATAACAGGAATCAACTTTAAAGTATGTTTATGCATGCCTTAGGATTTGGCTTAAGTCCAATGTAAAGCCTGGATAATGAACAATTATTATAAGATGCCCACTTGTGCCTAGGGATATATTCTATGTTATGTTTTAGTTTCCTTTTCAAAGAGGATTGTAATGGTTAGAAATTATTTTCACAAACGATGAATACTAGAAAGGTCACTTAAGACTACTTCACTGAAGCAGTCAAATGGATCTTTTATTTTATTTATGTAAGATAATATATGTAAGATAATACATGGGCAACATTAGTGCATAGGTAACTGTACAGAAACCTCACTAGCTCCATTTTCACCTAATCTCGCAAGTTTGGACATCAATTTTGGCAATAGCCTGTCTACTAGTGTGAGCTACAGGCTGCTCAATTTCAATAAACTAGACAAAATGTCAATACACAAATGCTTGCTCCATCAAGTTAACCATGCCTTGATCACATAAACAAACATGGGTTTCTGTCTGGCTTTGCCTTTTTTATTTGGATCATTTTAGGAGGTTTTTAATATGTTGTACCACTGTCAGTTAATTTTTTTACAGTTTGTATCATGTTGGGGAAATTTCCCTGCATTTCCTGTGCCAGAGATTCAAAAAGTGAGAGGAAATTTCTACAAAGTTAGAGGAATCTGCCTCTTAGACAGTTTCACTGCACAAGTGTCCCCATTGTAAAATTGACCTCACCTCCTGTTCTGGTGACAATTGTAAAATTTTGCATTTCCCATTGCTTTCTGCCTTGATAACATTGATCACCAGGACAAGCAGAGAGGGTGACTCTACCCTGCAGTGACAAATGCAGCACTAAAATTTGACAGAGGTTCTAATTCTTCCCTATTCTTTCAAAAACGAAACAAAAGGTTTTTGGATATACATATGTCTTAATTTGGGCACTCAACTATATGTATTTTTTCATATAGGGAAAGGTCTTGTTGTGACTTGTAATCTTGCCAGTGGTAGATAGACTGAACAGGGACCCTGGGCAAAAAATGCTTTTCCTACTACTTATGCATGATTTGGTATTCTTGATATAGTGCTGCAAAAAGGTCAATGTTAAATAATAATAAAGGTATGCATGTCAATAATAATAATTAGGATACTAATTTTATTTTTAGAATTAAGCCAGGAAAATTGATAAGGGCTTGTTCACTCTACATGTGTATGTCAACGCAATCCCAATGCTTGAACAAGGCAAAAAGTCTTAATTTTTATTTTTATTGTTATTTAAATGTACAGAGCAGAACAAAACTTTAATAAAACAAACAACTATACAGAACAATCCTCTCTGTGTCATAAGTCTATCAAATAGGGCATCATAGGATATTAGGTTGCCACAATCGGGTACAAGAAAAGGTGTTAAAGAGGCATAGCAGATATAAGCAGACCACATGTCTCATAACTACACTGGCATATTATGCATAATCAGAGATCGGAGCCGGAAGTGTGCAGTTAGATCTGGTTCAAAAATCCCATACTAGCGCAACCTTCACAAGTGTACCCCTGAGCTCATAGGTAATATAATGGCATAGCAGAGTTAATCAAACATATCCACTCAGACACAGCGGTAGAGTGTTGGCTCCTCCATGTAAGTAATATAACTTTCTAAGCATAGAAGTACAGCAGAGCCAGAAGAGTTTTGGGAAGTTTCGAGAGAGAGACATAGTACCTAACAACCCCAGGAGACAAGTTTTGTGATACGAACTTTAGGGAATCCCAGAGCTGTAGAAATAAAGCTATTTACCTCCTGTCAATAACATTGAGGCACCAGAGGGCTAGTCCAAAGCACATGGACAAAATCAGCTGACTTCCCACAGCCTCTCAAGCACAGCTGGGAAGGGCACATACCCAAATTGTACAACTTTGATGGGTTATAATACATTTTATGAAAGAGTTTAATTTGTATGACCCTGTCTCTTTGAAAGATCACAGAGGTCCTGTACGTAACTTCAAACTTACGTATCTTCAAACTCCTCCCAATCATCATCTGAGAGCTGATGGAGCTAATTACCATCTATTTTTGGCCTTTAGGTATTTTGAAATCAGAATGTCAGAAATGGCTGTATAATAAGGGAAAATTAGCTTCCTATCAACTGGGCATTTCAAGAAACCTCAGATAATCTAAATGGGATTGTACAATGTGACATAACTGTAGATAACTAAGTATCTGGCTAGAGAGAACACAAAATTCATCTTGAAGATACAGAAATCTTTTCAAAGTGGCAGAGGAATAAACCATATTTAATACCAGAGGTATACCAAGTGTAGGCATTAGGAACAGTGAGAAATTCTAGGTTGGGATTAAACCATAAAGGGTTGTTGGGGGATAAGGACCAATCAACCTTAATAACCCTATTGACTATATAGAGGAAGATGGCCAGAGAGGAGCGGAGCAGCGCACCACCATGGACCTCAAGGACAGAGCACCTAGATAGATAGGTTATGTTATGTAATGTTTGAAAGGAGGTGGCCACAGCTAGTGTAGTAATGGAAATTAGGAAACGCAAGCCCCTCATTTTGTGGAGGCAAGTGAAGCGTAGCCAATAAAATTCTAAGGATTTTGACCCTGCCATAAAAAGGAAGAACAGATGAGGTCTATTTTATGAAAATGTTCATGAAGGGGGCATTGGCCAGAATATGTAATATCTTGAAGAGGAAGATAATTTTAAGGATTTGGGCCCTGCCCATCACATCCAGGGGAAAGTGCATCCACTCTTCATCTTAGTCTGTAGATCAGTAATAAAAGCGTCAATAACATTTTTAGGAGTAACTAAATAGTAATACCAAAGTATCAAAAAGAGTCAACTACTTGTAGTTAAGACATTGAGTGGATAGATTGGGTAGACTCAGTCCAGGGGGAATAGAACAGATGTATCCCAATTGATACGGAATCCGTTAATATCCCAAAATCCTCAAACAACGCGAATAAATAAAAAAAAAGGGATATGTTGGGAACATCCAGAGAGACTTGCCCCCAATCTGTCTATCATTGGACCTTTGATAGTTGTAGAAGAGTGAATGAGAACAGAAAGGGATCAATAGCTAAAACAAATAGGATGTGGAATGTCTAATGAGTTCTGTAGAAGATGGGAAAGGGAGATGAGGTCACATTGTTCACTCTAACTTAGGCCATCAGCTTTGTGTAAAGTAGTTTAATCTAGGAGATAAACAAAGTTCCATAAGTATGTTCAACACTGTTAAATGCTTTGCGAGTGTATAATAACACAACCAACCTCTGGCCTGAAATAGCGTGGAGATATTGATTATTAGTGAACATTCATCTAATATTTCTGGTTGACTGGCACAGGATGAAACCTGTCTGGTCCCCATCCACCTGACAAAAAAACACTTAGTTCAGTCTGAGAGCAAGGACCCTCACCAAGATTTTAACTTTGCTATTAATTAGAGAAATAGGCCAGTAGGACTCACATTTGGTCAGGTACTTGCATGGTTCTGGAATAAAAATGATGAGTGCCTCTCGCATGGTGAGGAGGGAGCACACCTTGCTGTAAGGCCACGTGAAAGGTGTCTAGAAGGTGTGAGCTAAGTAGCTAAGTAGCATAGGGAATTTACAGTACCAATCAGCTGGAAAGCCATGCAGGCTTGAAGAATAATGGTAGGCAATAAAGAGATAGCATGTTAAATTTTAGAAGAGGTAAAGTGGGAGTCCAACTCTGCACTTTGGGCAGGGCTCAGGCTAGTCAGGGACACCCCCTCCAAATATGAGGGCATCTGATCAGAAGGACAGTATATTGAGCAGTAGACTCATAAAAGGAGCAATAGAAGGAGGTGAAAGCATCCAATATGTCATTAGGGACAGTACAAGGGTAGTCAGTGGAACTCATCATAGGGCTAGATGTGGGAGCATATTTAGGCTTACCAAAGTTGACCAAAAGCCTGCTCACATTGTTACTGAATTCAAAGATTTTTTTGAGTAAAGAAGTTATTTTGGGTGCATTCATGCAAAAGAAAGTCATATGCTCTGCACTTCACCTTC